ATGCAGTTCATCTTCATCTGGCGCTGACCAATTCTTGATCTTCCTTGCCCTTTTCTCCACCATTTCTGCTGTCATTACAAGTTCTTTCATTTCAGCTTTTTTTTTATTCTTATCCACCTCCTTTATCCAAGCTGCACGCTTGTTGTATTTCTTTGGGTTGTCCCATAGAACTGCAGAACTGCACTGTTTCTTCTTTGTCAGGTGTTGACTGGTTCATTGCAGTCTCTCCATTGATGGACTGGTAGAAACGTTTCTGATTTTTTTATTCTTATCCACCTCCTTTATCCAAGCTGCACGCTTGTTGTATTTCTTTGGGTTGTCCCATAGAACTGCAGAACTGCACTGTTTCTTCTTTGTCAGGTGTTGACTGGTTCATTGCAGTCTCTCCATTGATGGACTGGTAGAAACGTTTCTGATTTGACTGAAATTGGAGATTCTGCCTATAGTGTGCAATTCGAGCCTCGTATCTGCTGATCTTGGCTATGGCTGTTATTTGCTGCTTTATTATTTTCAGTACTTCCTTGATCTTCCTTGTTTCTGGTGATATTTCCTGATCAGGTATTCTTTGGTGTTTTTGCTCTTCAGCTTCTTTTCTTTCATCTGTTCTAGCTTGATTGTATCTGATCTTACATGCTGATCTTATTTTCCAACCCAGTCTTCCATTTTGGTGGTGCACTGTTTGGCTTTTTTTCTTGTTTGTTGATTTTGCATCCGAAGTATTCAGTTATAACTGCAGCTGTGTTGTACATTGCTTGGTTTGTTTCTTGCAGTAAGCTGGTGCTTATATTTGATATTACAGTATTGGCATCTTTTAATACTTGTGTTAGTTTTTTCTTTGTAAGAAGCTTCAATGCAGGGAACCTGATTGTGTTCTTTTTGTGCTGTTCTAGGTGCTCAGTTATTCTTTGTTTCAACTCCTCTTGTTTTTGAGTTAGAGGGCTTTGTTCTTTCTGAGGAGAAGGCAGAGGAGAGAGTACCTGGTTTGGGAATGAAAACAATTCAGTAGCTATGCTGGCTTCCTCTACTACCAACTGCCCCTGGTTTGCATCTGCAGTCTGAGCTACTTATAGCAAGGCTTTGATTTCTTGGCCCTGGGTAGACCTTTGCAGTTCTTCCAATTCAACTTCTGTGAATACCTTATTTCGTATTATAAATCATTGTTGATCTGCTAGCTTCTGTTCTGTTATTTCTAATTCTGGATATTGTTCTTTCCAGAACTGGTGCATTCTTTTCAGATACCTTCTTCTTGTTGGACTTGATTTGTAATAGCAAATCATTATGTCTTTGTTTTCAGTTTTTGTATATTTGTGACGGGGAAAACAACTTTTCTTCCAGTAGTCCTGCAGCTGCTGAGTGGGTGCCATAAGGAACTTGGGGGGGGGGGGGGGATGCTGTCCCAAAGGGTAGGAGCAGCTACAGAAAAGGCACACTTCCTTGGTCCCACAAATTTAATTGGGGGGATCTGGAGCATACCCACTTTACCTGAAAGCACCAGTGGACACAAACTATTGGAGCTAGGCGGTCACACAGATAACCATATATGTTGAAATTCATTTGGGTTCTCAGCCAATAACAGGATGTTGGTTACATACAAAAGTACATTCATGTCCCAAAATAACACCCCTATGATGTCACCACGTGCATTCTTTGTATGTTTGTCCATCACATTAAACAACTAAGAAGATGTCACACATTCTTCTTCACTGTTTCAAACGGCTTCCCCATCCTATTTCCTTACATCCACTTTCTGTTTATTATGTTAGAAGATAATCTGTCTTCTAATACATTTTCTTAAAGAGTCATACTTTCTGTCCCTGAAGGTATTCTACTTTAACTCTTCTTTCTTTCACTTTGTCCTTTTCTTCCCTATCCACATTCTGTTTCACATTCAAAATCTCTCATTACCTTTCTATCCTTCACATATTCTGTCATTCTTTCATCATAAACAGTTAGATAAATCATGGTTTTAGATTTATGCTTATTCCTTTGCTGTGTATATGTAAATTGTGCATGTATAAAGATTTTCTACTTAAATTATTTGATCCTGTGTGACTTCTGACATTCAGTCTTTTATTAAGATTTTGTGTCTTTTACTTGAATATTTCTAAAACAGTATCTTTATTAGAAATTGAAAGATGTAAAATGAAATTCATGTAATCTATATGACCTTTGGAAAAATAAGCGTGAATGCCTTATCTTTTTAAATTAATGGTGGATTGTTTTAAAAGGATGAAATAAGATTCTTTTGACCTTAAAATATGGTTAATTCAGCAAAATAATCATACTTTGGGTGCTTGAGATAATGTTTAATTAAGGCATTCTCTTCGTTACTGGAAATATAATTCAGAAGTTGGAATATGAACTCACACAGTTCAGGCTTATAATACTTTAGCTGCATTTTGGACTGAAAGGTATAGGTTTGTAAATGCAACTCTATAATGATTGCTGCCACTCAGATACGTACACAGTCTTCTAAATTTTATCTTTAGTAAATGGAATCTGTCACTGTACCAAGATTAATAGATACTTTGTGCTGGGGTGATAGCTACCCAGATCTGCATCAGGTTTTGTTGATGTCTGTTCTTTGTCACCCATATGACGCAAATTTGATACTGCAGTTGTGGTTGGTACTGAGGAAGTGTCTAGAGTGCTGTCCAGTTAGATTTTTGGAGTTCTATTTACATCATTGTAACCTGGGGAAATGGAACACACGGTGTTGGCTTGATCCTTGCATATATTGGCTGATAAGATCTAGCAAAGCAATAATTGACATGGTGAGCATAAGTGACATTGAATGCCTCATAATCACTTCTGAAGAAGGCAGTATATGTCCTTTCCTAAAGAGGATTTCCCAAGGTCCAATATAGGTAATATGCCTGCTTTGGCTATAATTCCTGACAATATGATAGTCAACTTTGACTGCTCTTAAATTATTCTAGCTACCATTGACCTTGATATATACTGCAAGAGTAGGCAATTTGGGGGGACTTATAGGCATATCATTTTTTAGTAGATTTATATGGCAGTCCATCTCAAATACATGACTCTGGGCATTATCAACATTAAGAAGATAAAAATATACAAAAAACATAAAACCATACAGCAGCTGGGAAAAATTACAAAATCTTCCGTCAATGCAGAATTGAGCACAGAACCAAGTCCTCAAGGTCTTATGGAAGGCCAACAGGGACAAGGCCAATCTAATCTCTGGAGGGATGATGTTCCAGAGGGCAGGTACCACAATAGAAAAGGCTCACATCCTGGACCTCCTTAACAGATGGGACCTAGAGTGTGCCCCTCCACGTAGCAACCTGGCCCGAGGCCATGAAGAACTTTAAAGGTGACTACCAGCACCTTGAATTGCATCTGGAAGCTTACTGGTAGCCAGTATAACTCGTGGAGCAGTGGTGTCACATTTGCTGAAGAACAGGCACCCTAACTGCGCGCATTGCCACATTCTGCACCAGCTTCCAAATGCTGTTCAGGGGCAGCCCTATGTAGAGTACATTGTAGTAATGCAATCTGGTGGTCATTAGGGCATGAGTGGTATTAATAATTTTGAAAGCATATTTCGGGCACTCTCACAAAAAATTCTATAGTAATGGGTTTGACCAATTATAAGGCTAATGATGATATTCCCAGCCATCCTTTCTAACCCTCCAGTTTGCTCTTTCTCATCCCAGCTTTTGTTCTCCTTTTTTCCCCCCTAGGCATTTCAAAACAAAGCAATCAGCTGCAGCCACCTGCTGTATTTATATTTTTTAAAAAATGTTATGGGGTCATGTTGGGGTCCTGTCTCTCTCTCTCTCAGCCCAACCTACCTTCCAGGATTGTTGTAAGAAAAAATGGGAGGAGGGAGTACTATGTACACCACTTTGAGCTCCTATGTGGAAGACAGGATCTGAATCAAATACAGTGGAACCTCGGTTCACGAACTTAATTCGTTCCGCGACTCTGGTCGCGACCTGAATTGGTCGCGACCCGAAGCAAATTTACCCATAAGGTTCAATGTAATTACCGTTAATCCGTTCTGGCGTGGAGGACAGGGAGGCGGCTATTGCTTGGAGGGAGAGTCCCCCTCCCCACGACCACGTGCCAGGGGTGGAAAATGGCTGCGGACCACGTGTCAGGGGCGGAAAAATGGCTGCGGACCACGTGTCGGGCGGGAAAATGGCCGTGGACCATGTGTCAGGGGCGGGAAAATGGCCGCGGACCATGTCACGGGAGGGAAAATGGCCGC